CAATCCCAACCCAAAAGAGGAACAGGAGGCTCGTAAAGCAACCAGAGAAAAGCAACACTCAGCAGGGAAAAGGCGGCTGCTTCAGGGCCTCTGGTGTCACAGCTGGTGTGAGCAGTCTCTACCCTCACTGATCACTGGTGTGAGCAGTCTCTACCCTCATGGATGGTGTGAGCATCCCCTACCCTCACTGAAGGTGTGAGCAGTCTCTACCCTCACAGCTGGTATGAGCAGCCTCTACCCTCACTGCTGGTGTGAGCAGCCCCTACCTTGCAACTCCATCGCCTGCTGTGGCCTCTCCCCAGGGTCGGCTCCACCGGGTATCTGAGGATTCCCTGGTCCAATGCCCTACTTTTCTGGCATCTCCAGTTGGGGATACCCATTGCAACTTGGGCTTGACCTCAGCTCTCATTCCAAACCTTCTCGGGTGCTCCCCACGTGGGGAACCCGGTCCAGCTATAGGCAGCCTGGCCTGGGAACTTTCCTCACGCTGACATCTTGGATGCCTCCAAGATCAGCACCACGTGAATATCAAAGTCTGCTGCCCGCTCATGAGGTCCCCTGGCCCCTTGGACAGCAGCTACAGTTCCAGTGCCTCTGTTGCTAAACCTGTGAAATGCCTCTTCAGGTGGCCCTGCTCTATTGGGCTGTCTTGGCTCCGGCATTCTCTTTCTGACTGTTGTTGTTGTTGTTTTCAAATGCATATCCTGAAGCCACCAATGGGTGGGGTATTGCTCTTAAGGCAACTTTCTACTCCCTCAGTTGCAAAGTGAGGGAGACGCATATGCATGAGTTTGCATGAACTCTCGAATGTTCATGAGTGTGTGTGTGTGTGAGTGTGTGTGAGAGAGAGAGTGTGTGTGTGTGCATGTGCACCCTCAAATGTGCATGAGAGAGAGACAGAGAGAGCGGAAATATGTGAAAAATGTGTAGCTTGTTGAGGAAAGGAATACGGGTGCAGCTAAACATGTAGACAGCACAGACAAGACAGGTGTGGGCTAACAGTTCTGTTGAGAAGATTAGTGTAATTTAGGACACACACACACACACACACACCATAAAGCTAATTAAAAGCAGCGAGCAGCTGCCATGCCACAGCCTGAATGTTTTTGCTGTCCTGGAATTGCCTCCTCCCTGCAACTCAGTCCATTCCTTGTGAACTCAGTCTCACTCACATGGTCAGGACACAGACAAGAAGCAGCCAGATTCCCTGCCAGAAGGGACCGTGAGTGTCTTGCAACCTGCTTCCTGATGCAGCCCTTCTGCTCCCTGAAATTTCTTGGGCACAGTTTGTATTGCCTACACCTTCAGCATCACTGAGAGTGGCCCGCACGGCCCGCTGGCCTTAGCTCCCAGTGTCCCAGGGGAATGCCAGCCTGGAGCTGTCAAGTCTTCCACATTCCCCACGCAGACAAGTTCCGAAGCCCCAGCACCCCAGTGCCAGCTTTATTGCAGCAATGACAAGTTTTCTTAACACCAGTTCTCTGTATTGACTGCCTTCTTCATTAGTACAACAAAATATCTGACAAGAATCTGTTGAAGGGGGAGAGATCTGTTTGGACCACAGTTTGAGGGTTCAGCCCATCCTGGTGGAGAAGGCTGCTGGTTCACAGCTCCATAGGACAGGAAGCAGAGAGTGACGGATGTTGGCACTCAGCCTTTCCCATCCCCCTTTTTGTCCAGCCTGGGACCCAGCCCACGGGGACAATGCCAGCCATACTCAGGATGGGTCTTCTTCTCAGTTATTCCTCCCAGGGAAACCCTCACAGACACGCCCAAGGGTGTGTCCCATTAACACCGTAGGTGCTTCTTAACTTACTCAAGTAGACCATCAAATCAACCATCACAACTCACTTTAGAAAAGGTGTCCCCTAAATTTGTTGTTGTTGTTGTTGTTGTTTTTGTTTTTCAAGACAGGGTTTCTCTGTGTAGCTTTGGAGCCTGTCCTGGAACTCGCTCTGTAGACCAGGCTGGTATGGAACTCACAGAGATCCGCCTGCCTCTGCCTCCCGAGTGCTGGGATTAAAGGCGTGCGCCACCACCGCCCAGCAGTGTCCCCTAGATTTGAAGGTCCTCACAATTTCCAGGAATGACTCGTAGGCAGGGTTTCATCAGTGTGAACATATGCACACTCTCAACCCTACTTTAAAAAGAGTGACTCGCCCCTGAGGACATGACATGATGAGAGACACTAGACACAAGTTCATGTTTCTCTGCCTTGGGAGCTCACTTTAGCACTCCATCATGCTGACTGCCCAGCCACCTCATCCGGCAAGAATATATTTTAACACTATCGTGACTTTGTTGTGTCGGCTGTATTACCGTTAACCTCAAAATACAGAACTGTGGCCATCAGCATGGCGTTAGCTGCAGTGCCTAGAAGGTGACTAAACCATTGACTAGTCTCCAGGCTGACTGACTAGATCTCTGTGATTAGGGAATGGCCAAGACTTTGCAGAGGGAGAGCCAAATTATCTTGGGCTCCCTTAGCCTCTTAAGGAGCCATTTATTGGAGCTGGAGAGATGGCTCCGCAATTAAGAGCACCGGCTGCTCTTCTAGAGGACCAGGGTTGGATTCCCAGCACCCGCATCCATCCCGGCCCTCACAACCATCTATAACTCCAGTCCCAGTGAACCCATTACCCTTGCCGGCCTCCACACCGTGCACAGACACACAGACGGGCAAAACAGCCATACACGTCAAATAAATAAATCTTAAAAACAAAACCAGCTGTTCTGTGCCCACCTCTGTATGTAACCTTGTGGCTCTTGGGTAAATTCTTCTGGAGTATATAAATAGTCCTTTCCCATCTACCAACTCCAGGCCAAGGGTGTCATTGGCTAGCATCTGAGGCCGACAGCAGAAGCTCTCTCGCCTTCCTGCAAACTACCTACCCGATGTTCCCAGCAAAGCATTTGAAAAGTGTGTTGATTGATGGCTTTCTTTGTTCTGGTACTATATATATTTTTTTTGAAGACTTCAATAAATTCCCCTGCTAGAACACAGTATTTGGGGCAACGTGGGTCTGTGCTCCTGGGCCATGGCCACTCATGTTTGGCTCCAGAATAAACTGTCTTCTTCCTTCTGTGGTCAGAGCTGTGCCAACAAACGGCACTTACTGAGCACTGGTTGAGCAGTGCTGGTTTTCTTTAATCTGTCCCTTCTAATGCTCATGCCAACCCCCAGAGGGTGGTGCTCTTGGCATTATTATTTTATATTTAAGGAGAGTTCCCAGGGTTACACAGGCAGCAAGCAGAGACTGGGTCCAGGCTCGCCTGAATCCCAAGCCCTGTTGGTTTTCAGGGTTGGTGAGGCCTCTGCCCCTATCAGCCCAACCAAGCCTCCCACCCTGCCACAGGTAACAGACTCGCTGTGCTTTCTGAACAGGGTACACTGGCGTGGGTTCTAGAAAGTCATGCCCCAAGAGCAAGCTGGGGAGAAAATGTTTTAGATAAATAAAGGCTTACATACCCTGAATCACAGTCCACTGAGGGATGCCAAGGCAGGAACTAAAACAGGGCAGGAACCTGGAGGCAGGAGCTGATGCAGAGGAGTGCTGCTTACTGACTCACTCCTCATAACTTGCTCAGCCTATCTTTATATGGAATCAAGGACCACCAACCCAGGGGTGACCCCACCCACAACATGCTGGGCCCACCCCCATCAATCACAAATTAAGAAAATGCCCTACAGGCTTGCCTACAGCCAGATCTTATGGAAACATTTTCCCAACTGAGGCTCCTTCCTCTCAGATGACTCCAACTTGTGTCAAGTTGGCATAAACTAGCCAGCACAGTTCATATCTTCCAGTTGTGTTAATCTGGCAGCAAAAATGCAGCCAGGATAGTCCACAGGCTTAGCAAGAAGGACAAGTGTCCTCGGGGCTTCTGGGGCTACAGCAGGGAGAAGCCTGAAGCCTGCCTGGAAACACTTCTCACTGAAGGGTGTGTCCACGGTGCTAATGGCAAAGGATCCCTCCCCCAGCCCAGGGCAGAATCTACTTTGCTGTGCCAGTTACCTGGCAGATATCCTGGGAGTCCAAACGCAACAGCTCTTCCAACCAAACTTTCCTAGGAAAACAGTGACTTGCAAGTTTTACCTCTAGACACGCACCATCAGACAAATCATCCGCAATATAAACTCCTCTGTGCGTATTTCTCCTTGAGTATTTCCTCAGGAAAGGGCATGACACTCGAATACCAAGTGGACAACGATTTGTGAAGAAAAAGTCTGAGACTCTCTGGGGATGAAGGAAATACCTGAGCTGTGTCTCCCAGCACTGAGAGACCGCACTGCATTGTGGTAAGCCATCTGAGAGCTAAGAACAACAGGCAGGGGGACAGGGTGAGTGTTTCTCCTGAGGTACAGGAAGAAACAACTAACCCCACATCTGGAGAGGGTGGTGATAACCTCAGCTACCGCTGTTTCCCTACCAGGAACTCTACCAGACATCATTCCGTCTCATCATCCCCACAATGTCCCAGGTTGGTGCCACTGTCCTCAGGGGGAGCAGCGGGGACTGATACAAAGTATCAGAGAGTCAAAGTGGCTCACCCAAGATCGCACAGCTAATTTGCAAAAAAAAACTAGAGCTGTAGCGAGCCTCCCCACCCCCCCACCCCCCATCCCACCCCCACCCCTGCTGGATAACCCCTGGAGCTCCTGTGATGTTGACTGCCCTGGACTCCAGCTCCTGGAACAAAGGAATCCTTCCCGAGAGAATTTGATGTGTGCTTCTCTTCTGTAACACGGGGACAGCAGCGATGCCCACACCCAGGGCTACAGCGAAGGCAGAAAGGATGAAAGGACAGAAGAGGATTTAAGTGCTGGGCACGGCAACCTGAGTGCTCGGCCAGTAGAGCACGGCAGCTTTGTCATCGGTGTCCCTGTCCCTTCTTCAAGGGACTCGGGGTGTAGCGGCCCTCCCATTTTTTCGGTTTAAACGGATATTTTTTTTAAGTAAGATTCACGTGTTTTTTTTTTCCCCCAGAGGACACAGTACCTTCTCTTCTGAAGAGACAGTCAGCTTGTCGCTGGATATCAAGCTGCACACCTGGTCCAGACTTAAGCTCAGAAACTCTTCCCCCAACATCACCTCCGGGAAGTGTTGCTCTGCTCCAAGACAAGAAGTGAAGACAGCGTTAGACCACACTCAAGAGCCGAGAGGAGTGGAGGACCAGGGAGAGACAGAGAGAGAAACGACAGCATCCTGGCTGGGGGGGGGGGGGAGGGGTTCAATTCAGAAGTGAAGACATGGATCATCTTCCTGAACGGCACAGATGAAAGTGGGGCAGAGAGGTCTGAGTTTGTATTTTTCGTCCACGCTCTGGGACACAGCCTGGGAGCAAAGCTTCCCTGGGACCTGCTTACATAAGTGAGCTCATCTGCTGTCCAGGCATGAGCACAGTGCCCACCCCCACCCCCCGCAGCTCAGTCACATACAAGAAGTTCAGAGCAGTCACAGGGGTCCTTGTAGGACGTCAGCATTAGGAAGTCAGGAGAGCGTCACCCTTGTAGCCCCACACAAGCCTATTCTGTGAGTCGCCGTCTGACGGGGAAGTCCGGCTTAGCGCTCATCGGGTGATAACAGGCCGGCTGCGTGAACACTTTGACCCGTCCCCAGCAGCTAGCCTAGGGAGATGTCAAGAGAAGGACAACCTGGGGACCGCTGAAGCGAGACAAACCCCACAGGCCCGAGGTGCACAGAAGGAGAGCATGGGAGACCATTCTGGCCCGATGTTCCCCAGGGCCACCAGCCAGAGCACCGTTCACTGGAACGCCACCCAAGGAAGGGCCTAGGTGCCGGCCTGGCTTTGCCGTTTATGAACTGTATCCCTGGGACACCATCATCATCGCGCCTGTGGGTTTCATGGTGAGAGCCGACCTGGAAGTGTTTTGCCAGAGCTTCCCGTGTAAATTGACCCAGATGGCATTTTTCAGTTTAGGCAGCTCGGAGGCTTTCGAGAGGTCTTGCTCCACCCCAGCTCTCAAGAATCCCCTGCCCTGCAGCCCCCGTGCCCCCCCACGGCCCCCATGCCCCGCTGCCCCCCGCGCCCCACTGCCCCCATGCCCTGCTGCCCCCTTGATGGTGGAATGTCCTTCTGTATATATGTTTCTCTTATTGGTTGATGAATAAAACACTGATTGACCAGTAGCCAGGCAGGCAGTTTAGGCAGGGCTACCGACAAGGAGAATTCTGGGAGGAGGAAGACAGAAAGGAACCACCAGGAGTCACCATGTAGCCACCGGGAAGGTAGGCTGCCTGGGCATTCATTCTCCGGTAAGCCAAGACCATGTGGAAATACTTAGATTAATAGAAATGGGTTAACCAAGAGAGAGATAGTCAATAAGACGCCTGAGCCATCGGCCAACAGTTTGTACATTAATATAAGCATCTGTGTGTTTATTTCGGACTAAACGAGCGAGGGACCAGGAGGGACAGAAACTCCATCTACACTCCCTCACCCCATTGCCCCTTGTTACCCCCTCACCCTGTTGCCCCCTCACCGCGTTGCCCCTTGACTGGCAGTCTCTTGAATAACTCTAACAGGATGCACACCTCATTTCCCACAAGCGCTGCCCCGCCCGGTCTAGCTGATCTCTCAAATAAGATTTAACATCCTGCAGCCCTAGGAGGCTACTAAAACACTGGTAAAACTACATAATGCAAAAAAAAAAAATAGAGAGCATATTAAATCCCTCCCACATTTGTCATCATCTCAAAAAAATGAAAGAGAACTTATTTGGATTATTCGTTTTTTTTGATGCTTGTATGTGTGCAAGTGTGTATGTGTTGTGTCTGTGTGTGTGTGTGTGTGTGTGTACCTGAATGTATGTATGTGTACCACATGCATGCAGGAGCCCATAAAGGTTGGAAGAGGGCATCAGATCCCTGGAATTGTATTTTCAGGCAGCTGTAAGCTGCCACGTGGGAGCTGATAATCCAACCCAGGCCCTCTGCAATAACAGTAAGTGCTCTAAACCACTGAGCTATCAAGCCCCCGCTCAAATCCTTTCTTACAAAACTTATTTTCAATTTTAGATTGAGAAAATTTCAGGCCTAGTAAGCTCCTGTATGAATTCCTACCTTCATCTGGATTGCCCAAATGATAATATTTTATCCTTAGATATGGATTTATAAACATTTTCTTTCTTTCCTCCCCAGGATAAAAGGTAGTCCGCCTGATGACGTCACTGTGGCCGTGACTGCCTTCCCTGGAACTCAGCGACATTACACAGGATGTCCGTGGAAGAGGGACTCTTGGTGAAGGGGACAACTGTCGGCCTTTGCTCCTCTGGACCTTCGGATTCTAGGTTCCAGGAGAGCCTTACAGACCAACACAGCCGGCTTCTTCTGGCCATCCACGTTCAGCTTTGGTTGACAAAACACGGAAAGCAGGAAGAGCACGACAGGTAAGAAGCAAACATCCCTGCTGAGGAAAATTCATCTCCTCGTGGTCCCTGAGGCCAACAGTACCCGGCTTGGGGGAGCGCCACACGGCATGTGCTTCATGGATCAGGAACCAAGCCAGAGGCCCCAGAGATCCGTGAAGACAGCAAACAGCCTCCTGCCTCTAGCCCTGAGGATGTGTGGGATGTCAGCCTAGGTCCCTTCCTGCTGCAGTAGGCTGCTTCTAATCACTGAAGGGGCCACCAGCTGAAACCCCCTCAGGAGGCAATCCACAACGTGGTGTCTGGTGGGGAGGGGCGCCAAGGGGAGGGAGGAACAAAGGCTTCTCAGCCAGGGCCAGGATGCAGGGGATGAGAGGGAGGAGCTGAGGGTGGTGGGGAGGAGAATGGCCTGTCACCAACCCTGTGCCTGAGAGGGCAGGGGCGTGCAAGCCGTCCTAAGAGCTGTGAGCAGAGGCTCGGGAGGCAGGTTAGCAGAGATCTCCTCTTCTCGGAACTGGAGGTGCTTATGCCTGAGAGGAAACCGAGTCCTGAGCGAGCAAGAGAGACACTTGTGTGTTCCCAGCAAAGAACAGCACAAGACTCCCAGGGAACAAACAGAGAAGGCTAGAGGGATCTTGGGGAAAGTGATACGTGACCGTGGTAACAGGACCAAAACTTTTGTGCCAAGATTGGGAGCAGCTTTCTTCTAAGGGTCACAGAGCCTATGTGATGCTGTGCCCCCCCCCCCGAGGCCTTAAAGTAAGAAGGGGGAGAAATAAAATGTGGAAGGGGAGAGGGATGGGAAGGGAAGAGGAGGGAAGAGAGGGGAAGACATAGAAGGGACAGGAAGGGAAGAGGAGGCTGGGGAGAGTACTTTTCCTCTCTTCAGTCCGAGGAGACATTAGCCCCAGTCATCAATCCCCGAGTCCGCTTTCTGTGAGCACCACGTTAGAGAGGATGGGTTAAGAGGCGTGAGAGGCGCCCAGTGGTCAGAGCCCTGGCTTTCCCTTTAGAGGACCTGGGCTCAGCTCCCAGCACGCACATGGTGGCTCACAACTGGCTGCGCCTCTGTCCAGGGGACCTGATGCCCTCTTCTGGCCTCTCTGGGCACTGCATGCGTGTGGTACACAGATGCATGTGCAGGCAAACATTCACGGGGTTTTTTGTTTTTTAATTTTTAGAAAGAAACAAGATTAAAAAAATCAAGAACAAGATGTGTCACCAAACTCAGCTTCCTGGGAAGAAGAGTGTCCCCGGAAGACTGTGGACCCCAGTTAACCCTCCCGAGAAAGCACCCGCTCTGCTTCCGGGAGGAATTTTCTGGAGGATCATCTTCTATTTTTACAGTTGCCTGATTTTTGCTTGTTTTGTTTTGAATTAGGTGTATTTTGCATTGTTTATTTTGGTCCTTTGCATATTTACTTCATTTGTAGGTTTCATTGTCATTGCTGCTGGCTGTTTCCTGATGTTGACTTGACATGAGTCCTTGCTATGTATCCCAAGGTTGGCCTTAATCTCTCAACCCCCCCAACCCCCCACCCCACCACCCCCCAACCCCCCACCCCGTCTCAGGCTCTCAGGTACAGGCGTGCACAGCTACCCCAGCCCCTTCAATGTAGAGATGCAGGGTGTGGCAAGGAGAAGGCTCAGGTTCACCTCACAGCCACTTTTCCCAGACTTTGGGCTCCTCGTTGATAAAATACAACTAAAACACTTGAAACAGTTCATATTTTAAGGCTCAAGAGCAATAGTGTATATTAGTCTACTTCGAATTCCTTAAGTAACTCATCGGAAATGAAGTTTACCAGCCTTTTCCCCCATCACAGAGTCCAGCTGTGGGCAGCGCTGCTCTGACGGAGATACCTAACCACAGCTGTGGGCGGCGCTTCTGAGGCTGTACGGTGCCCTGTGGTGAGACTGGGGCCGTGGTCCTGAAAGGTCTCAGACCTCAAATTTAATTCCATTGAATCCGGCAAACTCTCTAGTCATACAGGTATTCAGTCTCCCAAGGCTATTTTCTCAGCCCTCTTGGGATATCTGATAAAAAGGTGTTATGAGCATTAAAATAAGAAAATATCCAGAACTTGCACTGATTGAGAACCTCCAAAGTGCTACGTAACAGTTAGCATATGGTGTGCGAAATGCAGGGTCTTCAAAACCCAAGAGAACCAAGCTGGCGCCTACAAACAGGGCTGGAGCACCGTCCATGCCAGCCTCGCGCTGGTGGCCATGCCTCTTACGTCTGCTTCAGTCGCCTCTCCAGCCCCTCCTCCTGGTGTTTCCAACGTGCTGATAACGGAGGATTCGGGGCTGAGGGCGGGGGCTAAATGTTTCCTCTAGAAGAGGCGCCTCGAGTCCCCAACAGCAGAATCGTGGGGGGATTAGGGAACGTGCAGAGAGAGAGCTGAGTCTAGTGAGGCCCCGGGTGCTGTTTCATTCATCCAATGCCACGCGCTGCCTAGGGGTCCCCGTCACCCATGGGAGATGCCAAGGAGATCTCAGTCTTGGAGAGACAGGTACTCACAAAGACATTGTACCCTGCGACTGTGGCCCAGCCCAGTGAGGGCAACCCTCCAATAAGAAATTACAATCTTTGCTGTTGTTGTTTATTTGCCTGGAAGGAATAACATATAAAAGGGGACCAACAGAATCGAGGGTCCTGGCCACCACTCTAGTTAACCAAACCTTACTACCAATAACAAACACGGTTTGAGTCCCAAGCACAGGTGAATGGAGCCCTGTGTCTGTCTGTCTGTCCATTTCCATGAGAATAGATGGACAGGAGTCTCTGTGTAACTTGCAGACTTTCCCCGGGCCAAGCAACACATGTGTTCACCTCAGAGTTAAAGGGCTTTCTCTGGGGTGTGGCTGGGTCTTTTCAGTGACAAAGGCCCGGAGGAGGTTGGATGAGACATCTCCTAATTATAGCTAACACGCTAACACGCGCCGGAAAATATATAGCCGTTTAATCTCCTCCCAAAGCCCTGACAAAGTGAATATCAATCTCCCCACTTCAGAGACGGAAGAACAGAGACTCAAAAGCTGAGCCTTCGGCTCAAGTTCACACAACAGTAAGTGCAAAGACTGTCTGTCTGCTCGCACTAACAAATGTTCGCGGAGTGCCTTGGTCTTTAAGACAGAAGCAGTCCCAGGGCTGGAGAGATGGCATAGAGGCTAAGAGCCCTGGCTGCTCTTCTAGAGGGCCTGGTTCCATTCACCGCGCCCACGTGGCAGCTCACATGTGTCCACAACTCCAGTCCCTGGGGTCTGATGCCTCTTCTGTCCTCCATGCACCCACATGATTCACAAACATACATGCAGGCAAAACACCCACACACATGAAAAGCTAACCAGCAGGCCATTAGGGTAAAATTAAATATAAACACTAGAAAATCCTAAACTTCCTTCCTAGATGTGATAGAGACAGATGGGAGAGGGGACACAAAGAGAAACAGAGAGGCAGAGGATATGAATACAAAAAAAACCTTTTCATTTTTAAAGGGGGAGACAGGCAGGGGGATCTCTGTGAGTTCCAGGCCAGGCTGGTCTACAAAGTGAGTTCCAGGACAGTGTTCTAAGCATTGAGGAATCAGTCCTGGGATCAGAATTTAGGCATAACCCCTGTAGTGGTTTAGATGAGAGGTCCCCTGCCCCCCATGTTCTTGGGCATCTGAATACTTGGTCCTCAGTTTGTAGCCCTAGTTGGGTGGGTTTAGGAGGTGTGGCCTTGCTGGGGCGGGCTCTGAGGTTTCCATAGCCGAGCGCTGGTTCCCGTGTGTTCTCACTGCTTTCTGTTTGAGGTTCAAGATGTAAGCCCTCACCTCTACCTCTACCATCATGGGCAGTTAACGTCTGGAACCGTGTCTGATGGTGTCTGATCACAGTGACAGAAAAGTAACTAAGATCACCTCTGAATTAAGACCTTTCCCTGTCCCCTAAGCTAGACAAAGTATATTCACCCATGTTCCCAAAGATTCCCCCCAAACAGGGAAATACCCCCATCCCGTGCTTTATCAGACGAAGTCTTCCCACAATACAGGGACTGGGGAATCCAGGAGAGCAAGCACCAAATCTGTCTCACTCAGAGCTAACCTCTCAATGCCCAAACCAACCAGCTGTGGCTACAATTATTATCATACTTCAATCGTGTTCTTTAGGACGGCTTAAGACTCGGGCTTTGGAGTCACCTCCCAAGCAAGCTCTAAGCCCAGCCTTTTCTCTTAATGGGGTGGAATGAACCAGACCTCTGCTCTAGACCAACTAAACTATGCACTCAGGATAAGGGAACTCGTAACCCATCAGTCACTTTGCTGGTTTACAGGGGTCACATGAACGCCCAGGGCCACTGAGGAATGTCCATGAACTGAGCTAAATGGACACAGCCACTGGGAATCCTGACTGACACCAAAGAGCTTGAGTAGAACCAAAGCACTTGGCAGGGAGAGAAAACTTTAAAATAGCTGCCTAGGTATTCCCCTACCCTGCCCCCCACCTCCCTATCCCCCTCCCTGCCCCCGCCCCCCACCCCATCCCAGTTCCTCTGTCCTGGTTTCGGAGAGCAGAGGTCAGGTTTCTCAAGTCAGGATTTGAGTTTTCAGTCCCGAGGTTCCTCTGCTCCAGGGAGAAAGCTAGGCTTCCACAGGGAAGAAACAGAGTTCACCCTGACCTCTTCCCAGAAAGGGCGGAGCCTCGGGGCCTCAGACTCCACATATTTCTTTTACCCTCCCCACAGAAGGTAGGAAATGTTCTTCATGTAGTCTGCGTCCCATGTTCCCTCCGAGATACACACATGTGATTCTCTTACTCTCTCAAGTGCACACACGAGTGCACACGCGAGCGCGCGCACACACACACACACGCACATGCAGGCACACACAGGCACACGCACGCACGCACGCACGCACACGACACCACCATGAGCTCTTTAAAACTACGCAGCCCTCATTGCTATTGAGGCACTGTGTCTGGGTCACAGCGACTTTTCAGAACAGTAGAAGCTCCTACCACCACCTTCTCTTCATGCCAAGTGGGGTGCAGCCAGTCATAAGAGGGGTCTCACTGGGGCCAGGGGTTTAACTTTCCCAAATGCTTTCCAAAACTTTTCAGCTCCTGATTTAATTACCTCATTCACCAAATGACCTAATCAATCAAGAAGGGGGACATTTCTCTTCGTGAGCACATGAAATTAAATGACTTTTCCATCTTGTGGCTGGAGGGTTTCAGCCCGGCTTTGGCAGGTTGATGTAAACAACACACCCAAAGAATTTTAATTGCCATATCCTTAATGAGGCCTCATTAAAATCCCCTAAGCAGCTCCACTGATGGTCCAGGCACATGGCCCTCTAACTAACAAGCAACAACGTCCTCATAACCCGGCCCTGGCTGCTGAGGTTAAAGATTAAGCAGTCGGCCACAATTACGAGGGATAGGAAACAGGGTGTGCAGAACTTAACCTTCTCCAGCCTCCAGTGACCCAGACTAGGATGCTGTTGGCCGAGGGCAAAGGTCTGAGCAGTCAACTTCCAAATGTGGACCCACGCTCCTCCCACACGGAACAAACACAGCAGCATTAGAGCAGAAATCGCAGCACATCGCCCTGCAAGAAAATCTGAACCCAGAGGAAGCAGGAAAGACTGTTACAGCTGTGACAGCCAGGGAGCCAGGGTCATTCCAAACAGGAAACAAAACGGTCTGCTGAATACTGAGGTGGTACTCACACACACACACACACACACACACACACACACACACACACACACACACACGACTCTAAGATTTTGTATTAGGTCAAATAAAAGCATAATGGGTAGGGGCTGGTGCGGTGGCCCATGACTCAAGAGCATTGCCTGCTCTTCCAGAGGACCTGGTTCAGTACCCAGCATTCCCATGGTGGCTCACAGTTGCCTGGAACTCCAGTTCCAGGAAATCCAATGTCCTCTTCTAGCCTCTATGGGCACGAGGCACACAAATTTTAAAGTGCAATGGGTGCAGAATGTGTCTGTGTCAGTTAAAACACGTATGCATACATCCTATAGTGGTGCCCACCATTCTCCCCGACCCCTTCAGAGAAGGCAGGAGTACTTCATTTCCAACAGACAGGTAGACAACTTGCCTCATACAATAGCACGTATTTTTGCAAACTTTAGTACAACGGCATGGAAATGTAACCACTCAGAACCTATGAGAAAGGTTTACAGCCTACGGGGCATGTTTCTTTTAATGTGTGTAAGTGGTTACCAGCAGGTGTGTCTACGCACCAACCACATGAGTGCCTAGTGCCCTTGGAGGCCACAAAGAAAAAAGCATCAGATTCCCCGCAACTGGGGTTACAGATGGCTGTGAGCCACCATGTGGATGCCGGGAACGGAACCTGGGTCCTCTAGAAGAGCAGCCAGTGCTCTTAATCGCTGAGCCGTCTCTCCAGCCCGTGAAGCACATG